GCCGCACCAGTTAAAATGTTTCTTGGAGACAATGCGGCTAAATCTTCGAATATTCTCCCCAGGACACGTCAAATGCTTGATGACGCAACTTTTAGGGGCAATACAACATCTTCATGACAATAACATTATACATAGAGATCTTAAAACCGACAACATACTTTTGTCTCAAGATGGTGTTTTAAAGGTGGCAGATTTTGGATTGGCCCGAGAATATGGATTCCTTCTTCAGCAATATACCCCGCGCGTGGGCACACGGTGGTACCGTGCGCCTGAACTTTTGCTACTTAGCCCAGAATACGCAACTCCTATAGACATGTGGAGCGTTGGGTGTATATTTGCTGAATTAATTATCTTGTCACCACTGTTCCCTGGCAAATCTGAGTTAAATCAGTTGAATAAAATCTTCATGGATTTGGGTACGCCGTCTGACGCAATTTGGCCGGGCTTCAACTCGTTACCGCTGGTAAGAAAAATCATGTTTAAAAACCATTTACCGGGCGGGTTGCGTAAAAAGATAACCCACGAATATCTTTCTGATAGTGGTTTATCCTTACTGGAAGGATTATTAACTTACTGTCCTGCAAGACGAATAACAGCAGCCGCTGCTTTAGAGCACGAATACTTCAAGGAGCAGCCGGTGGCGGTCGAGCCGGACAGGTTCCCGATGTGGATGAACTCTGTGGACAGCGGTAACTATTCTGACCTGGAATTAGGAATGGATCGTGGCTCTAGTTCACTAGGCACCGGCGTACTTATTATGGACGTTTGATAATATAATATTAAAATGTTATTGTTTGTAAATATGTATATGTAGGTATGTGTATATCTTTATTGTAGCAATTTTATTGTGTTAAATCCTTGTAAATATGAAATTTGTATACAAATAAAATTAGTTATAGTAATTTTATTTTGTTTAATTGTTCCTTGCTGTAAATGCTACTAATAGAGAATGCTTTTCTAAATAAAAAAAATCTTTTAAAAACCGACTTATAAACTTTTTGTTGTAAAACACGATTTATTTTATCGATAATGAAAAATAGTTTGCCCTACCTATAGTATAACAACTGTTTGTTCTAAATTATTGTAATAACACCTTTATAAAAGGAAATTTATGTGAAATGATAAATAACCAGCAATAATTTAACCATTTTTTATTATTTGTTTCGTTTCTTAAATATAAAAGAAATAATGATTAAAAAAAATACTTATCTTGATGTTAAAATATACTTTCATTTTATATGTGGTTTCTTTTGCTTAATTAAACTTTTAATCATTTACCTAATGAAAATATTTGTGTCTGTACATAATTTATCTCATGTCATCTACGTTTACATGGAAATAATATTATTTGTAACAAAATTGAAATCTATATAATTGTATTCTATTTTTAAGCCATTGTTATTTGTAAGTCAGTGCTCCTTTCGCCTGTGATACAGGATATTCTTCCTAGTACAGGTTTCAAACTTAGTGAGATCTCTGATTTTCAATAAAGATGTTTATCTGTACTATGACCAATTTATTATAATGAATAAAGAATAACGATTTATATTGTTAAGCCGATGAATTGCCAATGCTACGTACGCCATAATTGTCACAGGCATCGGACCATAATTGTGTTACTTTTGTGTATTTTAAATGTTATGTTTGTGATGTGGCAGTACGCCTTCGAATAAATAAATAAATAAAATACAAGATGTTACTTCGTTAAAAATTCTAAGAAAAAAGTATCGATTTTAACAAATTGCTGAATACTAATTAAAATTTCTCAATCACCAGTTATTATGAGTAGTAATTCATTCATAATGTCATTAAAAGCTCTTTAACATTGTTAAAAATATAGTTTTAACATGTCGCAAACTAAATGCCATGCAGTTGTTTCATTCTAGTTGCTAATTACGTACAAGTAATTAATCTCCTAATTTAAATATTGGGGATTTTAGTTTGCGGGCTCTTTATATGTAAATAATTTGGATTTACGCTTCGACGCACTTTGAATCTGAACTTGTATAAACTAAGCCAAGCCGCAGAATTTAGTAACTGATCTTATTTCTTAATGCCTAAAGATGATTATTGACTTATAAGTCCGCAAGGTACTGTAAGATGAAGTCAAGATTTCTAGTGGAACCACTGAATCGAATCATGAACTTTGGTGTGTAGAGTTTTGCTTAAAAGAAGGAAAGCTGTCACAAGACATGTGCTATACGTATGGGTTTGATGTTAGTAATAGTATTTTGGAAGATTAAAACCTATCTTTGAGCGTTTCATTCAACGCCATGCTAGCTTCAAACTTTCGCGAGATGCTCGATTCATTCACCGACTTCAGACGACGACAAACAGACCCACGAAGCTTACATTTATTTTTATAAATAGACACTTGGCTGTTTCTGAAAAATCACACGATAAGGCACACCTGGTATTTTTCAAATAATAAATAAAAATCTTGTGTAATTGTAACGATAAAAAATCAAAACTCGTTTACTTAGTGATACTTCATACCAAATCAGGTATAATTATTATTTATTTTAATTAATTAATTTTAATTAATTTACTTATTAGCTGATTAGGTACTTAAACCATATTAACAAATGAAACAGAAGGATTTTTAAGAATGCAACAATGAGGGTAGTAATTAGTAAGGTTTTAATACTGGTGGATCTTCAAGAACTTACACACAAAAAATATTTTAATGATAACAAAAGTTCCAAGAAAACTTATATTCTAAGAAAATTAATAATAGCTTTTACAGTGCGACAAAGTCTCTTCGGTTGCGTGGGAAAAAATATATTCTTGTGTCTTATGAAATAAAATGATATTTATTTTTGCAAATAGGTCATGTTCATATTGTCATAATTACCACGTTCTAAAGAACGAGTCCTTGGTATTTGTTAATGACCTATTGTTATACTATCCTTATCTGATATTTTGACAAGTACTGCTAATATTGGTCGGAACCAGCTAAGGGAACAAAAGAAATGCTCAGGGCTCTGGACTATATAAGGGAGGATCTTCAATAACATGCACATTTACAGTTTAGATTGCATACAGTGACTACGCAATTTGTGAAGTGATTGTTAAGTATTTTTAAAATCATGAGTTCTGTAAATATTTGCAACGCGTCTAATGGAGTTGGAGACAGTGCTGAGTCCCCGTTAGGCACGTCACCTCAAGATGTACCTCGGAACACACATCGGAAGAAAAGTGGCCTGAAAGTCGCCGCTAAACTTAGATATAAAAACAATGGTATAAGAAGAGCTAAAAAGGATCATCAGGACAAGTACTGCAATCCGTTTCAAGAAACACATGAAACTGTTACACCTCCACCTCCTTTCCTCCCGGCGGTTCAGAGCAGACGATCTCTTGAGGAGTTCCAATATTTAAACAAGATTGCAGAAGGGGCCTACGGAGCTGTGTTCAGAGCTCGAGATGAGAAAAAAAACGAAGTAATTGCTCTCAAACAAATTCTAACAGACAATTACAACGAAGGACTTTATATCGCAGCTATGAGAGAGCTAAAGATATTGCTAAAGATTCAACATCCTAACATTGTCGCAGGGCGGGAGATAGTGGTAGGCACCGACATTGAGGAAGTATATGTAGTCATGGAGTACGTCCCACATGATTTGAGAAGTTACATGGATACCATGCGCAAAGAAGGCCAAATATTTTCGCCGAACCACGTGAAGTGCTTAATGACACAACTACTGTGCGCAGTACAACATCTTCACCTAAATTCTATCCTCCACAGAGATCTTAAGCTCAGTAACATTTTACTGTCGTATAAAGGTGTGCTAAAGCTGGCCGATTTCGGATTGGCCCGAGAATATGAATTGCCACCTGGCCAATACACGCCGGGCATTGTTACTATATGGTACCGCGCGCCTGAACTGCTGCTGCCTTCTGATGAATATTCTACTCCAATTGACATGTGGAGTGTTGGTTGTATATTTGCTGAACTGATTACTATGCGGCCACTGTTTCCCGGATCATGTGAATTGGATCAAATAAAAAGAATTTTCGAGGGTTTGGGAACACCTACAGACGCAACTTGGCCAGGATTCAGTGACTTACCTGTAGGTAGTATTATTTTCAAAAAGCATCCAACAGGTAGGTTGCGAGAAAAAATACAAAGAAATCTACTTTCTGAAGATGGGCTGTCTCTACTACAAGACTTTTTGTTGTATGATCCCGCGAGAAGGATGACAGCAGACGCCGCTTTGGATCATGCATACTTCAAAGAACAGCCGTTGGCGATCGAACCGGCCACGTTCCCGATGTGGCCTGCCAAGTCGCAGATGCAGCTCAGCCCTTGACAAGGATGGGGCTCTTGGATGCAGTAGCACTAGTGTTTTCATCAAATAAGCCGGCAAATGAACTGCGAGCAACGAATCACCTGACCCGATAACACAGGCGTTACAAGTCACGTTGCCGAACTTCTGGGAGTTTGGAGATAGAAGACTGGATTTACGATTGAGCTTTTGTTCCGGTGAATAGAAATCATGTTGAAATATATAATTCCATTATTGTATTATTATTTTTAATGTTCTTTATTTTTAAATTGTGTTTAATGTATGTACTGTGAAATAAATAAGGTGACAATTTAATTATGTTTTTCGTTTATTTGAAACCACAATATAATTATTATTGATAGTAATGTATATTTAATTTAGAAACAAATGTAGTGAACATAATATACAGCAATACATTACGCAAATGCCATATAAGTTAAAATAAAAGCCAGCCTGCTATTTATTGATTAATAAAAGAACTAAGAACCTTCAAATATTTCTAATCGTTTGGGCAAGTTCTATGCCTCCTTCTTTTCAATTCAATTGGAATACTGCTGAAGATGCAGCATCCCAACATCATCGCAGGCCGAGGACTAGCGTCAGTTCCAGAAACGAGCATGTGTTTTTAGTCATGGAGCTCGTTGATTACGACTTAAAAACTTTTATGCTGACAATGCAAAGCAACCAGCAAATGTTTTCAGTCGAACACGTGAAATGCCTAATGACGCAACTGCTAAGCGCAAGCGCTGTACAACATCTACACGACCATCACGTCATACATCGCGATCTCAAAACCAACAATATATTATTATCAAACGAAGGTGTGTTAAAAGTAGCAGATTTTGGGATGGCCCGAGAATATGAATTCTCTCCTCGGGAATATACGCCCAACGTAGTTACGAGATGGTGCCGTGCGCCTGAACTACTGCTGCTTTCGAAAAAATACTCCGCGCCTGTATATTCGCTGAACTAATAACCTTGCGGCCACTGTTTCCCGGCAGATGTGAGTTGGATCAGATAACCAAAAAATGTGTGGATCTGGGGACGCCTTCAGACACGATTTGGCCTGGTTACAGCGCATTACCAATGGGAAAAAACATCGTATTCAACGACTATCCACCGGGCGGGTTGCGCAAAAAGATATGTAGCAATCTGTTGTCTGAAGAAGGGCTATCTTTACTGCAAGATCTTTTAATCTATGATCTTACAAGAAGAACAACAGCAGCCGCTGGTTTAGAGCACCCATACTTCAAGGAGCAGCCGGTGGCGATGGAGCCGGCCATGTTTTTGACGTTGCCCGCCCGCTGAGCTGTCACGTACGAGTTAGGTTCAAGGTTTTGGGTTCACCTTCTTGCATCAGCGCATCGGACAACGCTCAAGTAGTAAATAAATAATGTATTACTACTATACTATATACTCCATGAAATATTGCGAATTCGCCAATCTGACTATAGAAATGTAAATAATAGTTTTTGAAACGAAGTGTAAATATATTGTGTAGTTAAGTTTGTAGTATTAAGGTATATTCGTTGTAAATTAACTCTGTTTATTGTAAATTGTTGTAATAACAACTTTGTAAATGTGAAATTACTATGAAATAAAAAACTTGAAATATTTCAATAACATTTTATAATTTTTCGTTTTAAAAAATATAATAACTTATAAGGTCTTCTTTGTTTACAATTTAAATACAATATCACGCAGTACGTAAACCATAATTATTATCCGGAGAAATAAAGTTCTTAGAAATAATGCATTATTAAGTTTTTACTGTCAATCGAATGATGATATGATTCAAAGATTTTATGAGCTGTACTCAATTTTTTTCATACATTTTTTGACAAATTGACATACCTTTTATATAATACTAGCTGATCCGGCTAACTTCGTACCGCCTTACAGTCAATTAATCACATCAATCATAATAAGTATCACCTTTTAGCTGAACTAATTTAGGCTTTGGTGAACGTAATACAATGATACAGTATAAATATGAACATAGGTAGGTTTATAAAAGAAGAAAAAAAAATATATAGCAAATTTATTTATTTTTCAAATTTTACATTCAAAAAGATTTAACACACATGGTACACTAAAGAGATACATACATTTACAAATTTACAAATAACAACATTAAAACTAAAATCTCAGATTTTTCTTATTTGAATATAAATGCAACTAATAATACAAAAACTCTGCTTAAAAATAAACTATCTAACATCTATATAATATAGTAATATTATATTATTCATTATATTAGTATTCAATAATTATAAGAGTGATTAGTTAGGCCTATATAATGGAGGCTATTCCAGAACGGGTACACTTAGTTTAGACTGCAAACGTTGTTGATCATAATACTATGACACTGACAATGAGTTTTATAAACGTAATCGAAATATCATAAGAAGATCAAGACAATGCTGTTCCCTCGCTACGATCACCACCTAAAGCTGTACTTCCAAAAACTCATCAAGAGATACAAAAACGATGCACGGAAAGAAAAAAAGAGCTGCAATGGCTTGAAATGGAAGAAGATTGAAGAAGAACAAAAACAACCTACTGCTGCTGAGCATTCCTTCCACCCAACGTTAAAAGATGATTGGTTCATTGAAGAGTTCGAATACCTAAATAAAATTGACGAAGGATCATACGGCGTTGTATACAGAGCTCGCGATAAGTCAACAGATGATATAGTTGCTCTGAAACGTTTTAAACATCTGAATGAAAGAGAAGGATTCGCCATCGCTACTCAATGGGAACAAAACACCCTATTAAAAGTTAAACATCTTAACATTATCGCAGGGCGGGAGATAGCGGTGGGCTCTAGTAGTGAGGAAAGGTTTATTATAATGGAATACGTGCCACGCCAGTTAAAATGTTTCTTGGAGACAATGCGGCTAAATCTTCGAATATTCTCCCCAGGACACGTCAAATGCTTGATGACGCAACTTTTGAGGGCGATGCAACATCTTCACGTCCATCACATTATACATAGAGATCTCAAAACCGATAACATACTGTTGTCTCAAGATGGTGTTCTGAAGGTGGCAGATTTTGGATTGGCTCGAGAATATGGATTCCCTCTTCAGCAATATACCCCGGGCGTGGGCACATGGTGGTACCGTGCGCCTGAACTTCTGCTACTTAGCCCAGAATACTCAACTCCTGTAGACATGTGGAGTGTTGGGTGTATATTTGCTGAATTAATTAACTTGTCACCACTGTTTCCCGGCAAATCTGAGTTAGATCAGTTGAACAAGATATTCATGGATTTGGGTACGCTGTCTGACGCGATTTGGCCCGGCTACAGATCGTTACCGCCGGCGAGAAACATAATTTTTGATAACTATCCACCGGGCGGGTTGCGCAAAAAGATAAGCAGCAAAGATCTTTCTGATAGCGGTTTATCCTTACTGGAAGGATTATTAACTTACTGCCCTGCAAGACGAATAACAGCAGCCGCTGCTTTAGAGCACGAATACTTCAAGGAGCAGCCGGTGGCAGTCGAGCCGGACAGGTTCCCGATATGGATGGACTCTGTGGACAGCGGTCACTATTCCGACCTGGAATTAGGAATAGATCGCAGCTCTTACCATAGTACTCAATTAAGTTCGCTAGACACCGGCGTACTTATAATGAACGTTTGATAATATGATAATGTACTGTTGTCTGAAGATGGTATTCTGAAGGTAGCAGATTTTGGATTGGCCCGAGAATATGGATTCCCTCTTCGGGAAAACACCCCGCGCGTGGGCACACGGTGGTACCGTGCGCCTGGACTTCTGCTACTTAGTCCAGAATACGCAACTCCTATAGACATGTGGAGCGTTGGGTGTATATTTGCTGAATTAATTAACTTGTCACCACTGTTTCCTGGAAAATCTGAGTAAGATCAGTTGAATAAAATCTTCATGGATTTGGGTACGCCGTCTGATGCAATTTGACCCGGCTACAGCTCGTTACTACCGGTAAGCAACATCATTCCGGGCGGATTGCGCAAAAAGATAAGCCGCAAAGATCTTTCTGAAAGCGGTTTATCCTTACTGGAAGGATTATTAACTTACTGTCCTGCAAGACGAATAACAGCAGCCGCTGCTTGTGTCTATAATGACGGTACTCATAGAGTTAAGTTAAGATGTCTAAACTTTTTACATTCATAAATTAACTAATTGGCACATTAAACATACATACATACATAACTTCACGCCTGTCTCTCATGGGGGTAGGCAGAGACTAAGGAACGCCAATTACTACGATTCTTACATACCTCTTTCGCTTCATTAACAGTCATCAATCTTTTCATGCATGCTCGTCGGTTAAGGGTACTTTTAATTTGGCCCTTCTTTAATATATCGCCAATCTGGTCACTATATGTCCGTCTAGGGCGCCTTAAAAACCCTTTATAATTAACCAAAGGAATGATAGTACTTCAATAATTATAAGAGTGATTAGTTAGGCCTACATAATGGAGGCTCTTCCAGAACGGGCCGTACACTTACAGTTTAGACTGCAAACTGCTATGAAATGATCGTAATACTTTGACACTAACAATGAGTTTTATAAACGTAATCGAAATATCAGAAGAAGATCAACACAATGCTGATCCCTAGCTACGATGACTACCCAAAGCTGTTCCTTCAAAAACTCATCAAGAGATACATGGTCTGACAAAAAGAATAATGTACAGATACAAAACTGATGCACAGAGAGAAAAAAGAGCTGCAATGGCTTGAAATGGAAGAAGATTAAAGAAGAACAAAAACAACCTACTGCTGTTGAGCCTTCTTTCCACCCAACGGTAAAGGGCAGTCGGTTCATTGAAGAGTTCGAATACCTCAATAAAATTGACGAAGGATCATGCAGCGTTGTATACAGAGCTCACAAAAGTCAACAGATGAAATAGTTGCACTGAAACGACTTAAACATCTGAATGAAAGAGAAGCATTCTCCATCGCTGCTCAGAGGGAACCAAACACTCTATTTAAAATTAAACATCCTAATATTGTCGCAGGGCGGGAGATAGAGGTGGGCTCTAGTAGTGAGGAAACGTTTATTACAATGGAATACGTGCCGCACCAGTTAAAATGTTTCTTGGAGACAATGTGGCTAAATCTTCGAATATTTTTCCCAGGACACGTCAAATGCTTGATGACGCAAATTTTGAGGGCGATACAACATCTTCACGTCCATCACATTATACTTAGAGATCTCAAAACCGATAACATACTGTTGTCTCAAGATGGTGTTCAAAAGGTGGCAGATTTTGGATTCGCTCGAGAATATGGATTCCCTCTTCAGCTATATAGCCCCAACGTGGGCACACGGTGGTACCGTGCGCCTGAACTTCTGCTACTTAGCCCAGAATACCCAACTCCTATAGACATGTGGAGTGTTGGGTGTATATTTGCTGAATTAATTGACTTGTCGCCACTGTTTCCTGGCAAATCTGAGTTAGATCAGTTCAACAAGATATTCATGGATTTGGGTACGCTGTCTGACGCGATTTGGCCCCTGCAGCTCGGTGGAGAAAATCATTTTTGATAACTATCCACCGGCGGGTTGCGCAAAAAGATAAGCAGCAAAGATCTTTCTGATAGCGGTTTATCCTTACTGGAAGGATTATTAACTTACTGTCCTGCAAGACGAATAACAGCAGCCGCTGCTTTAGAGCACGAATACTTCAAGGAGCAGCCGGTAGCAGTCGAGCCGGACAGGTTCCCGATGTGGATGGACTCTGTGGACAGCGGTCACTATTCCGACCTGGAATTAGGAATATATCGCAGCTCTTACCATAGTACTCAATTAAGTTCGCTAGACACCGGCGTACTTATAATGAACGTTTGATAATATGATAATGTACTGTTGTCTGAAGATGGTGTTCTGAAGGTAGCAGATTTTGGATTGGCCCGAGAATATGGATTCCCTCTTCGGAAAAACACCCCGCGCGTGGGCACACGGTGGTACCGTGCGCCTGGACTTCTGCTACTTAGTCCAGAATACGCAACTCCTATAGACATGTGGAGCGTTGGATGTATATTTGCTGAATTAATTAACTTGTCACCACTGTTTCCTGGCAAATCTGAGTAAGATCAGTTGAATAAAATCTTCATGGATTTGGGTACGCCGTCTGATGCAATTTGACCCGGCTACAGCTCGTTACCACCGGTAAGCAACATCATTCCGGGCGGGTTGCGCAAAAAGATAAGCCGCAAAGATCTTTCTGAAAGCGGTTTATCCTTACTGGAAGGATTATTAACTTACTGCCCTGCAAGACGAATAACAGCAACCGCTGCTTGTGTCTATAATGACGGTACTCATAGAGTTAAGTTAAGATGTCTAAACATGATTTAATCTTTAGACATTCATAAATTAACTAATTGGCACATTAAAAACCCTTTATAATTAACCAAAGGAATGATAGTACTTCAGTAATTATAAGAGTGATTAGTTAGGCCTACATAATGGAGGCTCTTCCAGAACGGGCCGTACACTTATAGTTTAGACTGCAAACTGCTATGAAATGATCGTAATACTTTGACACTAACAATGAGTTTTATAAACGTAATCGAAATATCAGAAGAAGATCAACACAATGCTGATCCCTAGCTACGATGACCACCCAAAGCTGTTCCTTCAAAAACTCATCAAGAGATACATGGTCTGACAAAAAGAATAATGTACAGATACAAAAACGATGCACGGAGAGAAAAAAAGAGCTGCAATGGCTTGAAATGTAAGAAGATTAAAGAAGAACAAAAACAACCTACTGCTGTTGAGCCTTCCTACCGCCCAACGGTAAAGGACAGTCGGTTCATTGAAGAGTTCGAATACCTCAATAAAATTGACGAAGGATCATACAGCGTTGTATACAGAGCTCACAAAAGTCAACAGATGAAATAGTTGCACTGAAACGACTTAAACATCTGAATGAAAGAGAAGCATTCTCCATCGCTGCTCAGAGAGAACTAAACACTCTATTGAAAATTAAACATCCTAATATTGTCGCAGGGCGGGAGATAGAGGTGGGCTCTAGTAGTGAGGAAACGTTTATTATAATGGAATACGTGCCGCACCAATTAAAATGTTTCTTGGGGACAATGCAGCTAAATCTTCGAATATTCTCCCCAGGACACGTCAAATGCTTGATGACGTAACTTTTGAGGGCGATGCAACATCTTCACGTCCATCACATTATACATAGAGATCTCAAAACCGATAACATACTGTTGTCTCAAGATGGTGTTCTGAAGGTGGCAGATTTTGGATTGGTTCGAGAATATGGATTCCCTCTTCAGCAATATACCCCGGGCGTGGGCACATGGTGGTACCGTGCGCCTGAACTTCTGCTACTTAGCCCAGAATACTCAACTCCTGTAGACATGTGGAGTGTTGGGTGTATATTTGCTGAATTAATTAACTTGTCACCACTGTTTCCTGGCAAATCTGAGTTAGATCAGTTCAACAAGATATTCATGGATTTGGGTACGCTGTCTGACGCGATTTGGCCCGGCTACAGATCGTTACCGCCGGCGAGAAACATAATTTTTGATAACTATCCACCGGGCGGGTTGCGCAAAAAGATAAGCAGCAAAGATCTTCATGATAGCGGTTTATCCTTACTGGAAGGATTATTAACTTACTGCCCTGCAAGACGAATAACGGCAGCCGCTGCTTTAGAGCACGAATACTTCAAGGAGCAGCCGGTGGCAGTCGAGCCGGACAGGTTCCCGATATGGATGGACTCTGTGGACAGCGGTCACTATTCCGACCTGGAATTAGGAATAGATCGCAGCTCTTACCATAGTACTCAATTAAGTTCGCTAGACACCGGCGTACTTATAATGGACGTTTGATAATATGATAATGTACTGTTGTCTGAAGATGGTGTTCTGAAGGTAGCAGATTTTGGATTGGCCCGAGAATATGGATTCCCTCTTCGGGAAAATACCCCGCGCGTAGGCACACGGTGGTACCGTGCGCCTGGACTTCTGCTACTTAGTCCAGAATACGCAACTCCTATAGACATGTGGAGCGTTGGATGTATATTTGCTGAATTAATTAACTTGTCACCACTGTTTCCTGGAAAATCTGAGTAAGATCAGTTGAATAAAATCTTCATGGATTTGGGTACGCCGTCTGATGCAATTTGACCCGGCTACAGCTCGTTACTACCGGTAAGCAACATCATTCCGGGCGGGTTGCGCAAAAAGATAAGCCGCAAAGATCTTTCTGAAAGCGGTTTATCCTTACTGGAAGGATTATTAACTTACTGTCCTGCAAGACGAATAACAGCAGCCGCTGCTTGTGTCTATAATGACGGTACTCATAGAGTTAAGTTAAGATGTCTAAACTTTTTACATTCATAAATTAACTAATTGGCACATTAAACATACATACATACATAACTTCACGCCTGTCTCTCATGGGGGTAGGCAGAGACTAAGGAACGCCAATTACTACGATTCTTACATACCTCTTTCGCTTCATTAACAGTCATCAATCTTTTCATGCATGCTCGTCGGTTAAGGGTACTTTTAATTTGGCCCTTCTTTAATATATCGCCAATCTGGTCACTATATGTCCGTCTAGGGCGCCTTAAAAACCCTTTATAATTAACCAAAGGAATGATAGTACTTCAATAATTATAAGAGTGATTAGTTAGGCCTACATAATGGAGGCTCTTCCAGAACGGGCCGTACACTTACAGTTTAGACTGCAAACTGCTATGAAATGATCGTAATACTTTGACACTAACAATGAGTTTTATAAACGTAATCGAAATATCAGAAGAAGATCAACACAATGCTGATCCCTAGCTACGATGACTACCCAAAGCTGTTCCTTTAAAAACTCATCAAGAGATACATGGTCTGACAAAAAGAATAATGTACAGATACAAAACCGATGCACAGAGAGAAAAAAAGAGCTGCAATGGCTTGAAATGGAAGAAGATTAAAGAAGAACAAAAACAACCTACTGCTGTTGAGCCTTCCTTCCACCCAACGGTAAAGGGCAGTCGGTTCATTGAAGAGTTCGAATACCTCAATAAAATTGACGAAGGATCATGCAGCGTTGTATACAGAGCTCACAAAAGTCAACAGATGAAATAGTTGCACTGAAACGACTTAAACATCTGAATGAAAGAGAAGCATTCTCCATCGCTGCTCAGAGGGAACCAAACACTCTATTGAAAATTAAACATCCTAATATTGTCGCAGGGCGGGAGATAGAGGTGGGCTCTAGTAGTGAGGAAACGTTTATTATAATGGAATACGTGCCGCACCAATTAAAATGTTTCTTGGGGACAATGCAGCTAAATCTTCGAATATTCTCCCCAGGACACGTCAAATGCTTGATGACGTAACTTTTGAGGGCGATGCAACATCTTCACGTCCATCACATTATACATAGAGATCTCAAAACCGATAACATACTGTTGTCTCAAGATGGTGTTCTGAAGGTGGCAGATTTTGGATTGGTTCGAGAATATGGATTCCCTCTTCAGCAATATACCCCGGGCGTGGGCACATGGTGGTACCGTGCGCCTGAACTTCTGCTACTTAGCCCAGAATACTCAACTCCTGTAGACATGTGGAGTGTTGGGTGTATATTTGCTGAATTAATTGACTTGTCGCCACTGTTTCCTGGCAAATCTGAGTTAGATCAGTTCAACAAGATATTCATGGATTTGGGTACGCTGTCTGACGCGATTTGGCCCGGCTACAGATCGTTACCGCCGGCGAGAAACATAATTTTTGATAACTATCCACCGGGCGGGTTGCGCAAAAAGATAAGCAGCAAAGATCTTCATGATAGCGGTTTATCCTTACTGGAAGGATTATTAACTTACTGCCCTGCAAGACGAATAACAGCAGCCGCTGCTTTAGAGCACGAATACTTCAAGGAGCAGCCGGTGGCAGTCGAGCCGGACAGGTTCCCGATATGGATGGACTCTGTGGACAGCGGTCACTATTCCGACCTGGAATTAGGAATAGATCGCAGCTCTTACCATAGTACTCAATTAAGTTCGCTAGACACCGGCGTACTTATAATGGACGTTTGATAATATGATAATGTACTGTTTCTGAAGATGGTGTTCTGAAGGTAGCAGATTTTGGATTGGCCCGAGAATATGGATTCCCTCTTCGGGAAAATACCCCGCGCGTAGGCACACGGTGGTACCGTGCGCCTGGACTTCTGCTACTTAGTCCAGAATACGCAACTCCTATAGACATGTGAGCGTTGGATGTATATTTGCTGAATTAATTAACTTGTCACCACTGTTTCCTGGAAAATCTGAGTAAGATCAGTTGAATAAAATCTTCATGGATTTGGGTACGCCGTCTGATGCAATTTGACCCGGCTACAGCTCGTTACTACCGGTAAGCAACATCATTCCGGGCGGATTGCGCAAAAAGATAAGCCGCAAAGATCTTTCTGAAAGCGGTTTATCCTTACTGGAAGGATTATTAACTTACTGTCCTGCAAGACGAATAACAGCAGCAGCGCTGCTTGTGTCTATAATGACGGTACTCATAGAGTTAAGTTAAGATGTCTAAACTTTTTACATTCATAAATTAACTAATTGGCACATTAAACATACATACATACATAACTTCACGCCTGTCTCTCATGGGGGTAGGCAGAGACTAAGGAACGCCAATTACTACGATTCTTACATACCTCTTTCGCTTCATTAACAGTCATCAATCTTTTCATGCATGCTCGTCGGTTAAGGGTACTTTTAATTTGGCCCTTCTTTAATATATCGCCAATCTGGTCACTATATGTCCGTCTAGGGCGCCTTAAAAACCCTTTATAATTAACCAAAGGAATGATAGTACTTCAATAATTATAAGAGTGATTAGTTAGGCCTACATAATGGAGGCTCTTCCAGAACGGGCCGTACACTTACAGTTTAGACTGCAAACTGCTATGAAATGATCGTAATACTTTGACACTAACAATGAGTTTTATAAACGTAATCGAAATATCAGAAGAAGATCAACACAATGCTGATCCCTAGCTACGATGACTACCCAAAGCTGTTCCTTTAAAAACTCATCAAGAGATACATGGTCTGACAAAAAGAATAATGTACAGATACAAAACCGATGCACAGAGAGAAAAAAAGAGCTGCAATGGCTTGAAATGGAAGAAGATTAAAGAAGAACAAAAACAACCTACTGCTGTTGAGCCTTCCTTCCACCCAACGGTAAAGGGCAGTCGGTTCATTGAAGAGTTCGAATACCTCAATAAAATTGACGAAGGATCATGCAGCGTTGTATACAGAGCTCACAAAAGTCAACAGATGAAATAGTTGCACTGAAACGACTTAAACATCTGAATGAAAGAGAAGCATTCTCCATCGCTGCTCAGAGGGAACCAAACACTCTATTGAAAATTAAACATCCTAATATTGTCGCAGGGCGGGAGATAGAGGTGGGCTCTAGTAGTGAGGAAACGTTTATTACAATGGAATACGTGCCGCACCAGTTAAAATGTTTCTTGGAGACAATGTGGCTAAATCTTCGAATATTTTTCCCAGGACACGTCAAATGCTTGATGACGCAAATTTTGAGGGCGATACAACATCTTCACGTCCATCACATTATACTTAGAGATCTCAAAACCGATAACATACTGTTGTCTCAAGATGGTGTTCAAAAGGTGGCAGATTTTGGATTCGCTCGAGAATATGGATTCCCTCTTCAGCTATATAGCCCCACCGTGGGCACACGGTGGTACCGTGCGCCTGAACTTCTGCTACTTAGCCCAGAATACCCAACTCCTATAGACATGTGGAGTGTTGGGTGTATATTTGCTGAATTAATTGACTTGTCGCCACTGTTTCCTGGCAAATCTGAGTTAGATCAGTTCAACAAGATATTCATGGATTTGGGTACGCTGTCTGACGCGATTTGGCCCGGCTGCAGCTCGTTACTGCCGGTGAGAAACATCATTTTTGATAACTATCCACCGGGCGGGTTGCGCAAAAAGATAAGCAGCAAAGATCTTTCTGATAGCGGTTTATCCTTACTGGAAGGATTATTAACTTACTGTCCTGCAAGACGTATAACAGCAGCCGCTGCTTTAGAGCACGAATCTTCAAGGAGCAGCCGGTGGCAGTCGAGCCGGACAGGTTCCCGATGTGGATGGACTCTGTGGACAGCGGTCACTATTCCGACCTGGAATTAGGAATATATCGCAGCTCTTACCATAGTACTCAATTAAGTTCGCTAGACACCGGCGTACTTATAATGAACGTTTGATAATATGATAATGTACTGTTGTCTGAAGATGGTGTTCTGAAGGTAGCAGATTTTGGATTGGCCCGAGAATATGGATTCCCTCTTCGGGAAAACACCCCGCGCGTGGGCACACGGTGGTACCGTGCGCCTGGACTTCTGCTACTTAGTCCAGAATACGCAACTCCTATAGACATGTGGAGCGTTGGATGTATATTTGCTGAATTAATTAACTTGTCACCACTGTTTCCTGGAAAATCTGAGTAAGATCAGTTGAATAAAATCTTCATGGATTTGGGTACGCCGTCTGATGCAATTTGACCCGGCTACAGCTCGTTACCACCGGTAAGCAACATCATTCCGGGCGGGTTGCGCAAAAAGATAAGCCGCAAAGATCTTTCTGAAAGCGGTTTATCCTTACTGGAAGGATTATTAACTTACTGCCCTGCAAGACGAATAACAGCAGCCGCTGCTTGTGTCTATAATGACGGTACTCATAGAGTTAAGTTAAGATGTCTAAACATGATTTAATCTTTAGACATTCATAAATTAACTAATTGGCACATTAAAAACCCTTTATAATTAACCAAAGGAATGATAGTACTTCAGTAATTATAAGAGTGATTAGTTAGGCCTACATAATGGAGGCTCTTCCAGAACGGAAGAGCCTTACAGTTTAGACTGCAAACTGCTATGAAATGATCGTAATACTTTGACACTAACAATGAGTTTTATAAACGTAATCGAAATATCAGAAGAAGATCAACACAATGCTGATCCCTAGCTACGATGACCACCCAAAGCTGTTCCTTCAAAAACTCATCAAGAGATACATGGTCTGACAAAAAGAATAATGTACAGATACAAAAACGATGCACGGAGAGAAAAAAAGAGCTGCAATGGCTTGAAATGTAAGAAGATTAAAGAAGAACAAAAACAACCTACTGCTGTTGAGCCTTCCTACCGCCCAACGGTAAAGGACAGTCGGTTCATTGAAGAGTTCGAATACCTCAATAAAATTGACGAAGGATCATACAGCGTTGTATACAGAGCTCACAAAAGTCAACAGATGAAATAGTTGCACTGAAACGACTTAAACATCTGAATGAAAGAGAAGCATTCTCCATCGTTGCTCAGAGAGAACTAAACACTCTATTGAAAATTAAACATCCTAATATTGTCGCAGGGCGGGAGATAGCGGTGGGCTCTAGTAGTGAGGAAAGGTTTATTATAATGGAATACGTGCCGCACCAATTAAAATGTTTCTTGGGGACAATGCGGCTAAATCTTCGAATATTTTTCCCAGGACACGTCAAATGCTTGATGACGCAAATTTTGAGGGCGATACAACATCTTGACGTCCATCACATTATACATAGAGATCTCAAAACCGATAACATACTGTTGTCTCAAGATGGTGTTCTAAAGGTGGCAGATTTTGGATTGGCTCGAGAATATGGATTCCCTCTTCAGCTATATAGCCCGACCGTGGGCACACGGTGGTACCGTGCGCCTGAACTTCTGCTACTTAGCCCAGAATACCCAACTCCTATAGACATGTGGAGTGTTGGGTGTATATTTGCTGAATTAATTGACTTGTCGCCACTGTTTCCTGGCAAATCTGAGTTAGATCAGTTCAACAAGATATTCATGGATTTGGGTACGCTGTCTGACGCGATTTGGCCCGGCTGCAGCTCGTTACTGCCGGTGAGAAACATCATTTTTGATAACTATCTACCGAGCGGGTTGCGCAAAAAGGTAAGCAGCAAAGATCTTTCTGATAGCGGTTTATCCTTACTGGAAGGATTATTAACTTACTGTCCTGCAAGACGAATAACAGCAGCCGCTGCTTTATTTTTTTT